TCTATGAATCATCATACGGACAGTTGTCATTAATATTCCTTTTGTAAAGGAATTTTATTGGTCTTGTACGAAGATAATGCCTTTTTGATGACTTCTCGGCCATCGTTGTACGAGATGTGTTATGTAAAATAACGAGTGTCTAGAGTAGGAAAAAGTCCTTCGAAGCCAAGTCTCACAAATATAGACGCTGGTGTATCATTGCAGCCTGGGTTTCGGCTAAAAATTCACGAGCAAGCAGCGAAGGGTGAGGAGGTGAATTATCGTCATACAAATGCGCCGAGCTGTACCCCTTATAAGCTCTAGTGGCAGTAATACATGATATACCATGCCATTATTTACGGTGAACCCAATGGGATAAAGCTTCGCGTTCGACTACACCTGTCGACACTTTGTCCGTTCGAGCCTTTGTGTCGACGTCAGGTCGGAGCTTATGTTTTGTCAATTGCACGTTTTACTCGTAGTAATTCTGCATCGTCCTTGATTTCATTTAGCGATTCCTTGGAAACTTTCGTTCGCCCTTATCCTTTTCAAAGCTTAATTATTTGAAAACAAATTTTGCTGCCACGACTTTCATACTCCAAACATTGTGAAGAAATTGTTACAACTTTATCATATTTCAGGGACACACACAAATAAAAAATAAAAAAAAGCTTTTTTCCAAGCTCGCAAAATGTTCAAAGTCCTCATATTTTTTGACCACCCCAAACGAGGTGTCTAAAATAGAGTATGCTGTTCGATTTACTTCCACTAGAAGTGCCCGCATCATCAGTAAAATAATGAATTTTTCACTATCGTGGGTGATAATCATGCTAATGTTTGGAACTCTGCTTTTCGTGAGGGTAGGTTTTAATTTTTTTGAAGGTCTATACGAACTTTTATTCGGGAAATGGGCTAGAGTATTTCCTTCTGGCGTAGGAAATGCGAGGAATGTGTAAAGACAGTGGCGCACGTAATCTGGCAAAGAAGACAAAAGTTAGTCATAATTGATAGCCTTTCTGGGCTACCCATTGGGTCAGCCAGCTTAACCTAACCTAACCAGGAACTGACCTATTTGATTCGATTTATTTGAAATTCGATGACTAGTTGGTTTCTAGTTTAGATTAACGGTAAGACTTCTATCTTTCTGGAAAGTTTATCAGTGTCCAGTTTTACGAAAAAAATTTTGGACCGGAGACGAAATTAACCGAAAAATTCGTACTTATGGTTCAATTTACTTGAATTTCGTTACACAAATGGCTTTTTACTTAGGTTAACAAGAAGACTACTCTTTTCTTCGGAAAGAGTACCAGGAATTGACCTTTGGTTAAATATTATGATGATTTGCCTAAATAGAATATTTTTGGTTTCCGGAAACGGACCACGGATCAGGGTACAAGCTCTTCTTATACGTTAAACTTGAATGTAAAAAGAGCAAAGATTCGAATGGTGCATTTGGCTTACTTCAAGGCTATCAGATTGATATTTACGTGAGAGACTTAAGCGTAGAGGCGATACACACTTTCAAATACGAAGCTGGCTCTTTGATATAAAATAAATATTAATAATTTGAAATTAACATTGTTTATTATCCAGGTGTCGTACTAAAACCCAAAACCTTATAGAAAATTAATTTAAATAAAAAATTGAGTTAAATTTTCTAAAAGCGGTCGCTCTTTGGCAGGGAAAGTCAACCCCTCCGAGTGTATTTCGGACATGAAATAAACCCATCAACCGTTCGGAGGCGGCTTAGTATAATATCTCCCTCTATTTGTTGGAAAAAAATCAAGACGAAACCGAAAATCGTTTCAGCGTTTACAAAGCACCAATTATATATATACAGCCTTGTCTAAAAGTCTTGGGCACCGCACTCATTACTGAATTTTTTGTTTTGACAACTGAAGTAATGAAATTTTATTAATGAAACAGTGAAAATACAATTTATTAGTGATAATAACATTAATATTTAGTAGGTCCACCCTTCGATTTAATAGCGGCATAAATTCTCTTAGGCATGCTGCGTACAAGCTTTGCACATTCGTCCGCACTTATAGCGAGCCACTCGTTAATTAAGGCATACTTTAAGGCAGCTTTTGATGGGGAACACAGCATAAGTTCCTTAATCTTGTTTTTTAAAATAGCCCACATGTGCTCGATAAGATTAAGATCTTGAGACTGTGCAGGCCAATCTAACAAAGCAATGTTGTTATCTCTAAAAAAACCAACGCATCGTAGTCGTTGATTTGTGAAAAGGACCATTGTCTTGCTGAAATTGAACCCCGTCGCGTTAACAAAGGATTTGTATTATGTCTTCTAAATTGCTCTAGGGTTAGAAGCTATGGCTGTTAATGCTTTAAGACGATCTCAACTAAGCTTGCATCGAAGTTTGTTTCATCAGACACAGAACATTCCACCAATATTCTCCGGGGAAATGTTGGTATCGGCGAGCCCATTCCAAACGACTTTTCCTATTCTTTTCTAATAGCCACGGTTTTTTCGGGCTTAACATCCTTTCTGCTTTCAGAAGTCTTCTTCTAGCTGTTCGAGCACTAACTGGCTTACTAAATTCATCCGAAAGGGCAGCTGCAAGGGCAGAAGAATATTTTTTGCGATCCTTGAGAGACTCGCGTATAAGTACTTGGTCTTCTCGTTTACTGGTTAGAAGCTTTTTTCCACTTTTTGTTTTATTATTGTGGAACTTCGTCGCGCCATCCGCGAACATCTCACCAAATTGGCAATCTCAACCTCAGACTTACCTTCTTCACTTAGAATTTGAGTTCTAACACTCATCATAACTAATTTCACTTTTATTTAGGGATTTCGGTAAATATGAACTGTTTTTATACCAGGTGTACAACTTTGCTTCCGCCGTTTTCCGGTAGGTGGCTGTACCGGCTGAGGCTGGTTGAAATTTATAGATGATAATGCCTTTAAAATGAGTGTGGACAGTGCCTAACGAATTGTCATCGCCGTTTCAGTGACAGTTGTTCTTGTTTTCGTATTATTCACGCTCGAAAATGCGCCTAATTCTCGCAATTTGCGGGAAGTTTTACTTTTCTGTTACAATTCGAAAAAAAATTCAGCTGAAGCACATTGAATGTTCTCAGAAACTTACGGTGATGCTGCTCTGAGTGAAAGAACGTGTCGTGAGTGGTTTCCACGTTTTAAAAATGGTGATTTCGATGTCGAAGACAAACAAGGTTATGATTTGTATTTGGTTGGATCAACTCGGTGTGATTTACCATAAGCTCTTAAAACCGGGTGAAACCATCACAGAAGACGCTACCGATCGCAACTGATGCGCCTTAGTCGCGCGTTAAAAGCAAAGCGGCGGCCACAATATCAAGAGCGACATGACAAAGTCATCCTCCAACACGACAATGCTCAGCCTCACGTCGCAAAAGTGGTCAAAAAGTACCTGAAAACGCTGAAATGGGAAGTCTTGCCCAATCCGCCGTACTCCCCAGATGTCGCCCCTTCTGACTCCCACCTATTCCGTTCGATGGCACACGGCCTGGCAGATCAACATTTTCAATCCTTCGAAGAATTGGAAAAATGGATTGCTTCATGGATAGCGTCAAAAGAGGACTCCTTTTTTCGAGCCGGGATCCGAAAAATTGCCGGAATAATATATCTGTAAGCCCTTTTTTTGCAATAAAGCTTTTAATTTTGGAAAAAAAACGGCGGAAGCAAAGTTTTAAACTTTCTCCAAATGTAATTTACCCTTTCACTTTCAAATTTTAAATGTGAAAATATTTCATGAATTTCCAAAATATGACAATTTTTAGGTTTAGCTAACCCAGAGTGCTATGACTTTTAATATTACACAATTTATTCGTTTAATCAACAATTAAACACCCATGTAAGACTTTTACAAAAAGAAGTGGTAACTTTGATAGCCACATTTGAGAATATTTGTATTTTAGTGGGGTGCCTAATACTTTTGGCCAAGGCTGTATATATATATATGTATATATATTTGCTATACCAGTTAGATTGAAAATTTGTTAAAAATTCAGTAAGTTTTAAGAACGTGTATCTAGGTCTGCTAATTAAAAAAAAAAATTATTAATTCCAAAACATTTTTTCTCATCCATTTCACATTAAATTCTTTTTTTGGGTCTATTAGCTGAAAAAAGAAATAAGATTAAATAATTCGAAAAAAAGCTCACTTCAATTTCATATTTAATTCTTTTTTCATTTATTAGCATATTATTATCATTAGAATATTTAGACATTAAAATATAAATTTCTTAACATTATTTATTATTCTTAACATTTATTAGCTTAAATTCTAAAACCTTAAGTGGTCACTAAAATAATATCACATCAACAAATAGTGTATGAAGGGGAAAATGTCAAGAAAGAGAACAACAAATTGTGTACGTGTGTGAGTTATACATTAAAGCGAACATAAAAATAAACATTGAAAATTTTGCATAAAAGCGAGCAGAAGACGCTCTGCTGCGCTACTGAACAATTAACTTAAATGACAGAATACAACAATTAAAAGAAATGAGCCAAGAGGCTCGGGATACGTTGATATAAGAACTACATAAAGCAAGTGATTGCTAATAGAAAGTAACTACAACAAAAAAAAAAAAAATAAAATAAAAAGTAAAAGTGTAATAGAGCTAAGTAAAGTGAATGCACAGCAAATTGTGTAAAGCAAAGAATGTGAGACAAAAACAAAAAAAAAAAAAAACAGAAAAAAATGGAGGAAAAACTTTGCGCAAAACAATCAACAACTGATGAGCCAAAGGTGATAGATACCGTTACGCTTGGCTTACGATCTAAGTTGTTGTAAAGACGGAAGCCAAGACGATGATGAGGTGCAAAGCGAGAATGAACGAAATGCGCCAACTAATTGCAAACTTTAGAACAAGTTTATGCAAATGTGCCGACGCACACACACACACACACACACACACAAACAAGCTGACACATTAACAGTCAACGAGCATCGCTAAGGAATAGACAGACAAACAAATAAACATTTCACTTTTATAAAGACGCACATATATACATACATACATATATATAAGCACAAGTAAAACAAATGTGTGTATAATAAAATGCTTGAATGGAACTCGGCTTCGGTGGTGATACGTGGAAGTGTGTTGCAAATGAACTATATATTATATAAGCTAAAGTCTGTTCCTTGCGGCGTGTGTTGTGTGTGTGTAGAGAAGTGTAGGCGGGGTACTCGAAAATGGTAGAGTAATTCACGCGAGAGGAGTGATATTGCTATGGATTTGCTCCAAACTTTCTATTTTCCAGCAATCACTGTGCGCGATTCCCCCTCTAGACATCCCCAAACTCGGCATAGGCAGGTGTTGGACCACAATCCAATCTCGTGAACTTTGATTTATGCGTTTACGCATTCACCTCAGCCAGTTGTACAGACCTTCTCACTCGAATAATATGACTGCTTTCCTGATTATTATTATTATTACTATTACTATTACTACTACTATTCTCCGTTTCTTTGTGTTGTTGTTGTTGCTGCTGTGGCGTTGCCACTGCTGCTGAATTGAGGCCATCAGACGCTGATTTCGTTGATTCCGCTACGGTTCTCTGGCCTTGCGTTGGCAGAAGGCGTAAGGCTTGTAGTACATCTGGATTTGTAGACTTGAGCACGCCTGCATTCAGCGATGGTACCTGATGTTGATAGCTACCGGTTAGACGCGCTACGAGATTGTTGACAGCACGCAGCGTTGATATCGGTATCTGTTCAGAGAGAGAGAGAGAAAGAGAGAGAGAGGGAGACAAAAACTAGTTAATGAATCTTCGCCAAATATCACTGTTTAACTAATCGCAAATATTAATTAATTAGAATATTTTTAATTAATTTAGCAAAAATTTATTATAATTGACTAAACCAAATGATTAACTATGCAATTAACTAAAATCTTAAAACTCGGAAATTTAAGTAATTTGATTAATTACCTACGACACAAAATAATGAGATTCGGTGTCTTAATTTAACAAGGTATTAAGTTGAAACTATTAAATTAATTAATCTATAGATTAAAATGTTTAATTAATTTCATTAAGAGGCACACCTAGTGTAACACCTTTAACATATTAAAATTTCAATATCTCAAATGGTTTTTGAGTTATAGCAATTTAAAAAGCAGCCGCTCGGCAGCCAGAGAGTCTCATTAGCTACGAGTGAAAACGATCATTTTACCTTTAAACGCGTTTTTCGCGAAGCACCATTTTCCGAATTCGCTGCAGTGATTACTCAAAAACAAATGATGCGATCATTATCGAGTTTTTTTTAACATGTTCTTTAAGTAGTTCTCCGTATAATAACCCATCGATTTTTGATCCGATCAAAAATTCGAATTTTGGCAGGCTAAAAAAAGCCCAAAATTTTGGGTAAAATTCGGCAATTTTTTTACAATGCCGTCATATTGTCAATTTTTGATTTTTTTATTTTAGGTCATTGTACAGACAATATTTTGTAGTAGAGAATTTTTTTTTTTAATTTCATCCACGGAGAAGGCCGGAATCACTGCAGCAGTGAAGGACCTTTTTCGCGCCGTTAGAGTTCGACTTAAAAAATATTAAATTTTTTTTCTTTAAAAATTTCACTGTATATTCTTGAAACATGTACAAATATATTTTAAAAATTTTGAAATAATTGATAAAGTATTTTTTTTTAATAAAAATTCCCAAAAATCACCTTTTTTTAGGCCATTACACTAGGAATGCCCATTAATTAAAAATAATACATTTTTTAATCTGTTAGTAATTTACAATCTGATCAATTAATAGCAAAGTAAGCGATTAATACGTCGATTTTCAATAATCTGCTTAATCAGAATTTTCATTATGATACATATAATTAATTACGTATTTAATAAAGCTGAAATATTTTGAATAATTAAAAAGTATTAAGCAAAGTAAATCAAGTCCCTTTTCTTACGATTATACGATTTATCGCTAATTCTACTTAATTAAAACTAGTTAATTCAATAATCTTAGTGATTCATAAATTAAAAGCACTTAAAGACTGATTAACTCATGAATATATTTAAATTTGAATTAAATTAAAAAAAAATTCATCTTTTGATTAAATGTGATCAAATGTATCGAAATTGATTGCTCTAATTGAACTTGGCGGTTTCATAAATAATCAAAGAATCAGAGATTCGATTGTGTAATTAATAAATAAAAGGTATATGCTAGTTAGTTGAAACTTGTTAGTCAATTAATCAATATTTTAAATGATTAAATAACTTTAATTGTTAATGTAATAAAATCTCATTTGTTTTTCTTATAATAATCATTATGGATTAATTTTTTCATTTCATTACCAACGGTCTGATTAAAAGCTATTTAGTCAAATCACTTGATATTCTGAATAAAAATAATGAAAAATTAAAGAGTTATAAAAAAAAAAATTAATTAATTAAAAATATTGTCATTTATTTTAACACTTGAAACCCCATTAATTCAGATTCTTAATGTGTAAATTTCAAAAGGCGCTTAAGTATTTATTTAAACATTTCACTTAATTGCAATCACCGAGCAGCAAATTAAATATTAATGGTTTAAACAAAATGATTAATATTTATCAAATCAAATAATCACATTATGATTACTCACAATATAAATCGACTTTATTAATTATGCTGTTCAGATTTGCTGCAATTATTCCAATCAATTCACATTAATCACAAATTGATTGAGTTTTAGAAATGATTTAAAGTACTAAAAAAAATGATTGCCTTTTGGCGACTATTTTTTTAAATCAATTTAATTTGGCTTGGAGATTCTTAATTTTTAATTTTTGATTAATTGCAATGTGAATAATAATAATATCAACTGATCTTAACAACTACACAAATCAATTTAAATTAATCACCAATTGATTGATTTTTTGAAAGAATTTTAAATTCTGAATAAGAAAAAAAATTGAATAAAATTTTCAACTGATTTACGTTCATCGAGCTCAATAAGCGGACTTTGTTGAATACAGGTGTTATATAAAATATTTTTTTTAAATTAAATTCACTTTGATTATAGTGGCTAATTCCTAATTTAATCAATTTATTTTAATTTTTGATTAATTGTGAGCTGATTAATTAAGGCTTGAAGTGTTTTGTTTTCGAAAGATTTATACCAGATTAAGATTGATTTGAAAATAAAAGATTAAAGCTGAAAGTATTTACTGACTTTCTGCGCCATTTAAAATATATAAAAAAGTTATTTCTTATATAAAAGTCGAGCGAACAGTAAAAAATTTAAAAATCCAAATAAATTTGTATAAAACCAAAGTCCAGCTAAAAAATTATAATAATCAATTTGATTAAATCATTAAATATATTAAATATCAAAACACAAATCTTTAATTCAAAATGAAAATGTTCATCATTATCGCTTTACTTTCTCCTTTCGCTTCTTCTTGCATTTAATCTAAACGTCTCTCGTAAGAACCGAATCACAGTGCAAATTTAATTGAATTTTAACGGCAACTTATCTAATTTGCCCACTAAACGCTTAATACACTCACTCACCTCGAATATGCTGTCAATCAGTGGACGAAAACTGAAAGGAAATCCAGTTACTTGCGCTGACTCGGCGTTGGCGGCGTTTGTTTGCATATTCGCATTATTATAATAGTTGTTGTTGTTGTTGCTGTTGCCATTGCTGCCATAACGATTGTTGTTATTATTGCTGTTGTAGTTCGAATTTGGATATATATTGTTATACTGCTGCGGCATTTGGTGGTCATAGAGACCGTATTCTTCGCCTGGATAAAAAATCATATTCGCCACGGGCATGGGACGTACGGCGGTCTGTAATTAAATTATTATTATTAAACAGCACGATGGTTATGAATACTTAAAATGAAAATTTATTTAAATTCAAAAAGAAACTTTTGATAACTTAGAAACGCGGTTCTTTTCGAGCAACCTTTGAAATGTACTTTGAAAAAATTGTGAGCCAGCCTAGGTGTGAAAATTCAATGGTTGTGTGCTCCCTGTAATATTAGGTTTAGCTGTATTCTAAAAAGTTCCTTCGATAAAGACGTAAACGTTGAAAATGTTAATAGTGTTTATGGTTCTGGCACCGTAACAGTCAATCACGCATAATTTGGGTTTCGTCGAGTTCCTTCTGGTAATCTTTTTGTAAAAATTTCTTCACGGTATAAATGGACATTTGTTAAAAATGTCAATAAAATAATGGAGATCGTTGAGTTTGACCATCATGCGAACACTGTTACTCATAAGCTCAAAGGACAGTTTGAAGCCACTTGAAAAGCCCAGATACATAAAGAGCCTGAGGTATGTGAGTCATATGCTAAATCGCAACAAAAGCGAATTGTGACTGACCGTGATGTCGAATGAAAACGGATTGACGGACAAGAAGGGCTTGCTGTGTGTGTTTGGTGGCAGCAGCAGGGAATCATCCACTATGAGCTGTTCCCGATTATCGAACTCAACTTAATTCAACTTCGAGCAAACGCTGTTTCGAGTTTTTTACTAAAGCATTTGCAATATTGGTTCCAAAACTAAGCTAAGAAAGAGATTATACTACTCAGAGGTTTAATACGCAAAAGCGGAAATCGCGACTTATAAAGGGTGACTTTTTAGTTATTATCTACGCTACACTGGTTTAAACAGTTGACGCACGTTTGGTGTTTTGTATCACTGTAAAACATCTTCAGTAGGGTCAATAATTTAACCAAGAAACTTACAAACGAAAAACGCTTGCAAACTTTATTATCAAAGTGCGAAAGAAAGTTCACCGCGCGCTGCTTCCGCGTTTTGAAGCTCATTTTTGGCTTAATGGAATTGTCGATTTTGGACTGAATATCAGCCAGAAGCATTGCAAGAGCTACCAATGCATACAGAAAAAGTCACATTTTGGTGCGGTTTATGGGCTGGTGGCATCCTTGGACTGTACAATACTTCTTCAAAGATGATGCGAATCGTAACGTCACTGTTAATGGTGAGAGCTCTCATGAGATGATAACAAACTTTTTCTCTCCAAAAAGGCAGGAACTTGACTTGCAAGAGATGTGGTTTTAAGAAGACGATGCCACATGCCGCACAATACGCTTAGCAATCGACCTATTGAGAGGCATATTCGGGGAACATTTTATTTCATTTTCGGGACCGGTCAATTGGCTGCCCAGATCATGCGATTTAATGCCTTTAGACTATTTTTTGTGGAGCTATGTTAAATCTTATGTCTATGCAGGATTATATTTGTATATATGAGTGTGTAAAATTTTCCTTCTTTCGAACGCGTTCCCTAGCTAACGCTAATTGTCTAATTACTGGCTGTTAATACGAGATGTGTTCAAAAGAAAAATACGAATTTTGGCTTTTCGCGGGCTGTGTGTATTCGATTATATGTAAATATTTTGTTTTTGTTATAATAGTAGGAAAAAGTTTCGATTAGTAGTTTGTTTTTGACAACAGAAAATGTTAGTCACGTTTTCGTGTACTCTTCGATTTTTTACTTTTGGAAAAAATGAAGCAAATAATACGCCTATGTTTTGAATTCAAAAAGGGAATAGAGTGCCTCAAGACAATTGAAATGTTATGTCCTGAAATCTCTTTGTCTCAAAAAAGTGTTTATAAGTGGTATAAGCATGCCAGAAGGCGTTGAAGACGACGAGAGTTCTATGGGTGCTCATTATGATCTTATTAGCAGGTGAAGAAAACATTGAAAAAGTGAAAAAGATTGTTCTTGAAAATTTTAGAATCACTATTTCGATCATATGTGAAAGATTTGCTCAATGTTTTCTTTGATTACAATGATGTGGTGCATCACGGCGTAAAGGTCATACAGTTAAAAATGAATACTAGCAATGCTCGCGTGGAGCAATATGGCTCAAGCGATTGGAATTGTGGAAAAACGAACCGTGGACTCTGCATCACAATAATGCACCAGCTCACACAACAATGCGGTGGCAGGGTGGCAGCTGCCGTACCATGAAATTAAAAGCTTCTCATTAAAGTTGATTAGCAGTTTGAATAAACTGTAAGTCTCTCCACAAATTGAAGTCACTGGTCGGAAATCGCTTCAGTGGTTTCAAGGCATCATTTATACATATATCATACATACATGTCTATGTATATTTATAAATATTGGATGAGTGCATAAGTTCGTGCCCGATTTCAAGTGCAAACTAAAATTGAAATTTTTTGAAGAAAGCGCTTTTATTAATCAATTATGTATTCGCCATTATGTTCGGCAATCCACTCCCAACGTTCAACCTATTTACGGATGCCTGATTCATAGAAATCGCGCGGTTTCTCGTTGAAAAAGGTGTCAAGGTGGTTTTCGACGTCTTCCACATTTTTAATTTTTTTCCATTCAAATTGTTGTGCAGCGATCGAAACAAATGATAATAAGAAGGTGCAATGTCGGATGAATATGGGGGATGCGGCATGATTTCCCAATTTATCTCCTTCAGTTTGGCCAGGGTCGGTTTTGCAACATGTGGCCTGGCGTTGTCATGATGGAAAAGAACTCCTTTGCGATTGGCCAAAATCGGACGTTTTTCATCAAATACTTTCTTCAATTCGACCAATTGCTGACAATACTTGTTGGCAGTGATCGTTTTTCCAGCTCGCAAGAGCTCAAAATAGATCACGCCTCGGATATCCCACCAAATGCACAGCAGTACCTTCATCGGATGCAATCCACCTTTCGACATCGGTTCCGCCCCTTCGTGTGCCTGTTTCCACGTTCTTTTGCGTTGTACATTGTTGTACAGGATCCATTTTTCATCACCAGTCACGAGCCGATCCAAAAAAGGTTCGTTTTTGATCCGTCGAAGCAAAGAAATTGCTGTTGACATACGGTCCACTTTTTTTTCACTCAATCGAGCTTCAAAGTGTACCCAACCTTTTTTAAACGACGAAACGCAGTTGATTTGCTGACGTTCAATTCCCTGGCAACCTCTTCCGTCGAAATACGTGAGTTATTCGCAACTAAAGTTCTTAGAACATCGTCATCAAGCTCAGAAGGCCGTCCACTGCGAGGTTGATCTTCGAGGTTAAAATCTCCAGAACGAAATTTCGCGAACCATTTCTTTACTGTGCGGAGTGCTGGAGCACGGTCCAAATAAACTTCGCGAATATCTTTAGTTGCAGCGCCTACTGTTTTTCCTTTGCGGAATTTGTATAACATAATAAGACGCATATGATCTTTTTCGATGTCCAACTTCCATGCGTCTTTTCACTAAGCAACTCAAATCAAAATGAAGTTATTTTAAGCTTGATTTATAGTGGACTGTCACCTTTCCAACGATATATAATATGTATATATTTCTTTCACGAGCGCCACTCTCAAATGATTCGAACGGCATCCAGCGGAATCGGGCACGAACTTATGCACTCATCCAATATATTTATAACCAACAATTGGTCTGCAATATACATCACCACCTTAAACATGTTATTACTTGATAACTATTAAAAAATCGATTAATTATATTGAAAACTATTTTAAAATTTTCTACCAAAAAGTGTGCATTAATATTTTTAAAATAAAAATATCTTTTCTTCATTTATGCGCCACCACCTCTTCCACATTACTCAATATTTATTTGCAAAAAGTAATATAACTAATAAACTGCTGAATACTTATTCATTTTTTATTTGCACATATAATATGTTGTGTGTGCGCTTCGGTACTTACATCATTTAGCAAGACCACATCGTGTCGATTACCGCGCGCATAACCAGTGACGCGTGTAAATTCGGTCACCAGATGTGACATAACAACGAGCAGAACGAACCACACGAAACGATCCATTGCTGTGATGATGATCTGTAAGAGAAGGGCAAAAACGAAATTTATTTGTGGTGATTTTAGTGGGTGGGTTTTTGGAAGGAATATTTATATACAAAATTAAAAATAAAATAGAAAGAAGAAATAACGAAAAAAGAAATAAATAAAAATCCATTAAAACTTATTGTGATTTTTTGTAAGTTTTAAAAAATATTGGTATGTTTGGAAGTTCAAAAAGCTACAAAATAATTCATAAACTATGTGGAAACGTGTATTTCATGCTTTTATAATTTGTGCTTTCTTTACAATAAAATAATTTTTACTGTAAAAATGGGCAAATAAGAATTTTTTCAAACCAAAAAGTAGAAAAAAAGCAGAAAAAAAATATTCCTCGAATTTCAAAAAAAAAAAGTAAACAAAACTTTCACGATTTATTTTTTTTAGAAATTTATATGGTTCATAAAAAAAATCTATAAAGTCGTGATTTCCTCTGCTAAAGAAATTTCTCCAAATAAAATTCAACGTTGCATTTTCCAAAAGAAAAGTATCATAAAGAAATTACAAAGATTTTAGCATAACACGACAGCTAAAATAAATGTGAAATTCTCCTGCTTAAATAAACAGGGGTTGCTCATGGTAAAAGTGACAGCTCTCAGTTCTTTAAAAGCCAGGTCAACTGGCTGACGCGAGAGGCGTAATTCAGAGGACCCTCTCAATATCAGTATATACTCTCTTCTCAAGAATAACGCGATCGTAAGCTCAAAGTGTAAGAAAAGCTTTAGCTGCATCGTGATACTCGCGAGAAAACTGACACAATTCAGGTCTGAATATTGTGAGAGACTCAATATCCACTTATCCAGACTTGACAAGGAAATATTACCTGTACAATGTTTCATTATTTGCGGCATATAGAGTTGCCAATGCGCAAAGAACCATATATTTTCAAAAAACCTTTCTGTCGAAAACTTTTAGTTCAGATTCATCAGATATTGCTAGACTGTATGACTATGAAAAGACACTTTGTCTGAAACCTTGTTAAGTATCGAATGATTCGCAGATGTCTTTCCTGATTCTGACGACACTTTTAATGTTCCTCGTCGCCAGACCAAGGTTTGATAGGATCTCACCCAAAATGATATATGGTAGCTTTTCCCTGACAAAAGTGAACTGTAGACCACGGAACTATGCTATGTCTGTGGCCTCTGAGTTGTACTATCACTACCCCCCATTGAGCAATTGTATTTTATTTCTTATATTCTTGAGACTCTCTCTCTCTCTTTTAGTTGAAGCAATCAATAACTAAAAAAAAAAAGTATTTGCCATTTTTATTACAGCCGATTTTTATTTAAATTTTTTTCATTTAGTTTTACACTCTCAAAAATACATTTAAAAGGCAATATATTTCGAACATAGCGTCACCTATCGAAAAGCTTAGGAGACGAAAATAAACATTATAAAAATTCAATCAGTACACTTCTGTAAGCCATATATATATAATTGGCGCTTAGTAAACGCTGAAGCGAGTTTTTCGGCCGAGCTCCTCCAGTTTGTGGTTTTTGAGTCTTGGTGGTTTTCGAACAAATGGAGGAACCTACAGTTTATACTAAGCCGCATCCGAACGGCTGATGTTTTTTTTACGAGGGGCCTTTATTTCTGCCGAAGGGCGACCGCAATTATAAAATTTAACTTTTCAATATTTTTGCCATGGTGACGTCATCGAAACATCTGTTGAAATCAACTCACAAATATTATAGTTAGCAACATATAGTCAATGATGTAGACTTTTGCTGTTATGAATTGTGAAAACCATTTTCAGCGAATTTTACACTCAGCTTTCATTGTGGTGAAAGCTTAATGAACTTTCAAAAACCAGGTAACTTCTCTTAATGCAAATATTTTTTTCCTATATTTTGTTTAATTATATGAGGTTGTTAATAACTTCTGCTTAAATAAAAAAAATTAATTTAAATACTTATTTTCGACGCACATCATTGCTAAAGCTCATTGTTTATAAATATAATATATAAATTGATTCAGTTTCGTAGTTTCAAAAAACGCAGAAAATATTATAAATATTTTTTTTTTATTAATTTATATCTTATTTTTTCATATAAATATATAATTTTTGAAATATGAACTTGAGCGTGAAGAAAAAATATTATTATTTTGTTTTAATTTGTTTATATATTTTTTATTTTATATCCCTTGAGCACTTGAGCTAAGCTCACTGCAGACGGACTGGAGTAATTGCACTAATGCGCGACGTCTCACTCGCGAGTGGCACTAACTATCATTTTCAAGTACTACACGTCACGCGCTTTGTTGCATGAGTAAACTGTAGCCAAGTTCAACTGACGATCAACTAGCTCTTCGGTGCAAATATCAGCGGGTTGGTTCAACTCGATTTCGAACTTCACTGAACGACGGCTGAAAACGTTCTGAAGCGTGCGAATCTTGTTACTTTGGCGTCGTTGCTGCTTGAAAAATGGTAAATTGATATTTGGAAAACATTGAAAGCCCAAGCAGGCCAACGAATGCAAATATATTGTGGCTGGCACATATTTGAAATGAAGTGTTATTTATAAAAAAAGAAAAAAAAAAAAAAAAAAAAAAAAAAAAAACTTGATAAATTGTTTTGCTAAATTTCATATTTGATTTTATTTTCAAAATGAGTTTCTTGTTTTTAATATATTTTAATGTATTGATTTCTTGTTTAATCATTTGGGTTTAATTTTTTTGTTTGTTAAAACTTTTTAATTTGTTTCTCTCATTTATTTAACCATTGCCATTTACTTAGAATAGAATTCTTGAGTATCATTAAGTCAATTATTATTTTTTTTTAATTTTTGCACAAAAAGCTAATAACAGCAACACACTGCATTGATCAGCCTTTGCGATCTGCAAAACAATCTAAATGAAAACAAAAGACTTAAGCTACAAACTCGGCGAAACAAATACTCAACAGGCGCTGAGGGTGTTTAAGAGCCACTTACAGCTGGTATTTCGATGGTGATGGCGTATTGCGCTTTCGTTGCCACTGGCTTCTAATAGAATAAAAAAAGAAAAAGCAAATTAAAAACACAAAATAAAAAAAAAAACAAAAAATAAAAATGAAAATTAAAATATAAATAAAATAAAAACAATTGAAAGTGTTTTTGTTGTACGTTATTATTGCTGCATTTGCGCCGCCTTTTGCCTTGTTGTGTGTTCTCAACTCTCGACTAGCACAAGGCTAACATGAACGATGCATTTCAATACAAAAAAATGCAAAAAAAAATAAATCACAACAAAAATATTAATAAAAAATTTGTATGAACCAGCAATTGCAGTTCAAATAAATAAAAACCTGTTTCTTCATTGATTTTTGCATTTTTTGAGGATTTGAATTCAAAGTTATTTGTTTCGTATTTTAAATTAATGCTCATTCGATTATACAGATTGTTTGAGCGCATATACCTTTGATTAAAAAAAAAAAACATTTTAGTAATATATTGTTTTAATATTTTTTTTGATATTTTTATCTCTTTATATATATATATATATATAAATATATATTTTAAATTTATGCACTTCTCAACATGAGAATTTTCTCTATTCCTTTACAGCCGCAAATTGTGCTTGCCGTTTTCTAGGCCACAAGCCACATATGTCGCGCTTGGCTTACGTCGTTCGTATATTTGTTGTTTGTATTGACCATGTGGTAGCCACTAATTTGTGCAACACCTCGGCATTGACTGCCAAGTCTTGAAATAACTGTTTGGACTTTGTTTGACGTGAATTAAAGTTTTTTATGGATTTTTTTTAAGTAAAGGCGTTTAAAAAAATTCATTGTTTTTAATTGTTTAATTGTAATGGTCTTTGCTTTGCTTGTAATAACATAAACATAGTTTCATGGTCAAGCTTAACAGCAGTGGCAAGTTTCATTCACTAGTATATACTGTGGTATATATATATATATAATTGGCGATTTGTAGCCGCTGAAGCGATTTTCGGCCGATGTTTTCCAACAAATTTAAATAAAATAAAAGAAATTATGCAAACTAAATTTTTTTTGTATCATTTTTTTATGTATTTTTATAATTAATTTTATTTTATTTTGTTTTATTTGAATTTTGTTTGTATAATTTATTTTAGTTTTTTATTCTATTTATTTACATAAATTCAGTATGTATAATTAATTTTATTTTATTTTGTTTTATTTTACTATATTTTATGTCTCTTTATTTTATTGTATTTCATTTATTTTTTATATTTAATTAATTTTTTTTATTTTATTTTGATTTCATATTATTTTATTTCGTTTAATTTTGTTTTATTTAGTTTTAATGTATTTTATGTTATTTATTTTAAGTTTTATTCAACTTTATTTCGTTTTATTTTACTAATTTTTTTGATTTAATTTTTTCTTAATTTAATATTATTAATTTTATTTTAATTAAATTAATTTTAGTTTATATAATTTTGTTTTATAAAAATCAATGATAGTTTTTTATTTTGTTTTATGTTATTTAATTTTAGTTTATATTACTTTACTTTATTATGTTTTATTTGTTAATTTTTCATTATTTTCTTTTATTTTATTTTTTTCAAAATATTTGATTTTATTTCATTTTGTGTTATTAAATATTATTTTATTTTGTTTAATTTTATTTCAATTTATTTTATTTTATTTTATTTCATTTTGTTGCATTTTATTTTAATTAAATTTGGTTTAATTTTTTTACTTTGTTTTATTTTATTTCATTTAATTTATTTTAATTCTGATTTTTTTATATTTGTTGGCGTCTACAAAATGGCTATTAAATCATTATAAAAACGTATATTAACCTTAAAAGCAAAAAAAAAATCTAAAAAAAAAAAATATTACAACATATAGTCAGGCTTCTCCCCAAAGTCATTTTTCTTGTTGTTCTGGCACCGTCTTGAATCGGCTGAATAAATCGGATACTTAAGTTCCTCTGACCTTACATTGAATATTGTAGGTAAGCGATACTCATACGTATAACTCCCTTCGCATAAAATGTTCATTAAAGTCTATG